GCCCGTCAAAGCCCTGGGGATCTTCACACCACTAAACCCATGTCTCTGACCCCAGCCAGCATCGAAAACTTTCTTACCTGCAGAAGTCAGCACCAGTGCCCAGAAAACAAAGAGACCAGTCCACCTCCTCCTCATTCAAACACAAACACGCCGATCACTGTCGAAACCAGAAAAAGAAAAGGAAAAGGAAAAAGAAACTTACAATCCGCAGGGGCCAAAACCATATGCAACGAATAATCCTTCAAGCGATGTACATGCACACACTCGCCATTCAATTTCCTCGTCGTCTCGTTCCTATTAACCAACTCCTCCGTGGCGAGGAATACCGCACCCGCATGCGTCTCTAATCGCGAATCGGCGACTTTGACTAACTGCGGGTTTTGCTCTGCGAGGGCGTAGAATTGCGAGTCGAGGTACTATACTCACACATAACTCATATTATCAGCCTTCCAAGTTCTCTCACATATCAACCACCACCACATCTAACAGTCTTAGGATACGATACTAAAAAAGTGTGTGTGCATACCATCTTCACCTCCTCCCCCGCAAACTCCTCCACCTGGCGCTGCGGCACATAATGCGGTCCGACGGCGGGTCTCTTCTCCCTTTTCAAAGGGTTGAGCAGATCTACCGTATCTTCGGAGAGGTATGATTGGGTTTCTCCGTTCGCGATTTTCTTCTCGTAGATTGTCGTGCTGGTCATGTTGCGTCCGAATGGGTACAGGAGGAATGTCACACCGAACCAGCCTAGGAGGTTGTATGGGGCACCGCCGGGGCCGTAGGATAGGTAGGTTTTGTAGTTTTTGTAGAGGAGGGGGAGGAGGAGGGTTGTTAGGGTGGTTAGTGTTGTGGTTGTGCGGGATGCGGTGGTGGTGATTGTTCTGGGGGTTTGGAGCCAGGATTGGGGGATGGGGAGGGGGAAGGTGGATTTGAGGGTTGTGAGGAGGGAGGACATTTTGATTGTTGTGTATTCTTGATGTTGGTGGTGTTGGTAGGGGGTTGTTGGGGGTTTTGTATAGGTGGGATGGTATGGTAGGAAGTAGATTGATGGATGTCACGATGATGGTGCAGTGAGGGGGAGGGGGAAGAGGAGGGAGGGGATACAAGGGTTCATATATTCATTCATTCCTCCGTTGAGTGAGATCATGTCACCGGCAGGTGATCTGATGCATTAATACTTACCGTGCTTATTATTATTATTCTCCGATGTATTCCCTACCGGGTTCGCGGGCTTATATTCTACATGTCTTAGATGGTGAGAGATGCGAGCTTACTATCACTATCTTTATCTTCTACGGAATGAAATGATGCAAAGCTAATGCTCTTCCGGTAAGCGTTGCGATATTCATTACTGGGTGACAGCAATCACGGTCGGGGATTCCATCCGAGGGATTCCGATTCCGGGTTGCCTTACTGACTCACGGCCATAGAACCGGACAATGGATCATTCAGAGCGGAACTTTAGTCGTGTTTCTGTTCGTTCATAATCTGGTCATTCATTGCATTGCATTATTCAGTAGAGTAGTGGGTATTCGCAAATCATCATCGGGCGTCAAGCATGTCCCGTCCGTCCGTCTTTCTTCCTGATACTCCAGCCTTGCCGTGGCTAACACATAGGTAATAAAACAAAAAACTATAGAGGAGAGGGTGAAGGGGTGAGCTGAGGTTGTGTGCAGAGAGTCCCAATCCGTCTCTAAACTGCTGTTCGCAAGCGCGGCCTATATGGCTTCGGGGTGGGCCTGTAGAAGTCCCTCATCCAGGGACGGCCTCGCACGGCTGTGTTTAGGTGCTGGACATCGCCGCTGCTGCGGAGGATCATCGGCTTGAATGTTGTTGCAAGCTGCGAGGGTGGTGAGGTTACCCTCGGGACCTTTCGGTGGAGATAGTAAGGTTCTCGCTTCAGTCGTCTTTACTGATCGCGCTTAGAGCGTGCGCCAGCTTTAGAAGAACGACACTTTCAGTCGCGGCGTAGTAGTTCAAGCTATATTACCATTAGCGTTGTCATCAACAGCTTGAAAGGAATTCGCACCTGTCCATCAGAATCCGCAGATGCCGGTTGAAATGCTCCTCGCATCGTCTCAGCGTCTCCTCCAGCTTGTCGATACGCGACGGGTCATATCCTCGCCCGTCTGAACCAGCGGCTTTGTTTCCCGCCAAGTCAGGGTCCGCTGAAGCAAGCGCACGCGCAAGAGAGGATGTGGCCCAGGAGGAGAACATGGTGCAGCAGGTCATGAGTCGATGGTGGATCTGAACGATGATTAGTAGGGATACGACATAGTAGGCTTGTTGACAAACCTTGAGCAGCTTAGCCTGCGTCAGCATGCATTCCTTGAGGCATGTATCCAGAAAGTCCACATGGTCCTGCATCAGCTCGTCCACAGTGCGATTGACTTGTTTGGTGCCGTTGACAGTCACCTCGGAGCCATCGGCATCAGTGCCATTTACCCGGTCCATGAGGTTCTGCCAGTTGGGCTCTACAACCTCCGCCGTGCAAAAGTAAAGGAGCTGCTGGACAAACACCAACATCTTGGACCGCAGGTTCCACGCTCGCCTCTTCCACATCTCTAGTCGTCGGTCAGAGGACTTGTGCCTCCAGGCAATGACCTTGCTCTGGTCTAGCCACGATGTGACAAGCATGGTTTCAATGTGACGGAGTGACAGGATGTGTCGGAAAATCAGCTGGTACCGGAGAACCGTTTTGCGACTGATTACAAGGGATAGCGGGAAAGGAACAGAGTAATCCAGCTCCAACGCATCGAAGCCCAGTATATCCTTGTCATCCTCTGCACTCTGGCTTGTAGGTGCCTGGTACTTCTCGATGGCCGCCTCCGGATTGTCTTGATCGATACCGGAAACGCTGACAACCTGCATCAGCCATTTCGTGAGCCCGACCTTGTTCATTCGGACCTTGACATCTTCCTTGAATGGGTCCTGAGCCGCGATACTCCCGGGCTGTCGCAATATCAAATCGAGAAGCGATTGGAGCTTGCTTTCGTTGACGTTCTTGGCGGGCTTGCGTAGTTCAGATGCGCCGAGCTCGAGAAAGTAGGAGAAGAAGTCGGACCGATCAAGGAAGAAGTAGTGTTTGAGGGAACGGAAGCGGGTCGTAAGGGAGTTCTTAGTGAGAAGGAGATTCAACAGCGATGCGTTGGCATACGTGTAGGCTGCGTTGACGTTTTCTAGGAAGCGAGGGTCGTCGAGGGTTTTTGGAACATCTTTCACTGCTTTGCTAACATCGACGCCCCCACATTCTCGCACGACATTCAGGTACTTTCCGGCCAGAAGGACTTTGTCCTTGACGCTTTCCAGCTGTGGTGGAACCTCGTTTTCGCGAATTGTATATCGCTTCTCCCAGTATTCGTCTGTGTAATCTTCCTCGAGCTTCTCCCGCTTGATCCACTTTTGCTCTTTAACAAGAAACTCGCCATGTGGGTCCTTGATACCTCCATGGTGTAACCATTCATTAAGCATTGTCATGTACGGCCGACTAGCGTCCCGAAGCAGCCTTTCCAAGAGAGCTTTCGTGGTCGGGTCGCCTGAAAATGTCGTCAGTTGCTCAGTAAGGAGCCGCAAAACATTGCCGCCTTTGCAGATTCTCTTGCTAGACATTGCCCCAGGTACAAGCTCTCCACCCTCTTTGAGTTGTTCCAGGATATTGTCCACATCGTCAAAATCGTCGATTGACTCGTCGAGATCTTGGTCTAAGAGTCCGTTCCGTCGAAGTAGCTCCTGACCCAAAGTATACAGCTGAGCCAAACATTGGCTCGTCGGCATGAGGTGTAAATGAAGAACATGTAGCGTGAAGCTCGGGTTGTTCAGTAATTCGTGTTCTAGCTGGGCAACGAGGACCAGGTACTCTTTGAGTAACTTCCGAATCGTCGCACATAGCGCATGGCTGACTGCTCCGTATTCTGCGCGGCTTTGTACCTCCACAAATGATTCTAGCGCACTATAATGAGTCGCTATCTTCAGTGTCGATTGTGTAAGTTCCTTTAGGGTCGGGTCCATTCCGGAGGGTAGCTGGAAAGCAGGTCCGGTCAACCTGTCCTTCTCCTGGGTCGGGTCATATGACCGGTAATGAATGTATTGGCCCTCAAATCCCATAAAGACGTATAGCAAATCCTCCAGTATCGCCTTTTCCTGCGCATCGGCTGAGAGCTCACGAAGCGGTGGTGGTTGAAGCGACTGAGGCAAAGCGGAAGCCAAAGGAGGAAACGATACTCGACTAGCTAGCGGTGCTGTGGAATGGGGCATTAACGAAGCCTGAGGGTTCCATGGAGCTGGAGCAAGATATAGTTAGCGCGCGAACATCTCTATACCTGCAAGTAGCTCTAGGAAGTGAAACTGACTCTCCACCGGTTGCTTATCCTTCTTTCGGGAATTGGGACTGGCCCCCTCGGGTTGACTGGGTCCTCGTTTAGATCGGGACCTCTCCATGAATTCACCTCGATTGCCTGCACTGGACGATTCCTTGACCGGGTTTCTCGTTCGGACTTGGGACTTGTCTCGCGTATGCATCGCCATTCGCTCGGTACGCTTGTCGCTGACGATAGGTTGTTGGTCGCGGGACGATCTGGTTTTGTGGCTGGAGGTGCTCCCGCGATGGTCTATATTCTCCGATTGCAAGGGGGAAGCAGCGCTGCGCAGACCGGGCTTCTCAGCGTCGGCGACGCGGTTGGACGCAACGCGGGGTCTCGGGGCGCTCATGTAGCTGGCGCGACGCTCATTGACGGACATGGTCCCGCAAGGTCGAGGAAGATAGGAGGAACAATCATGCAGCCTGTGCCAATAACACCACTGAATGAAGTAAACCGAGTGTAATTTCAAATCCTGGGGAGAAAACAGCAACCATTGGACTCGGACTACACGTCCCGAAGCCGTAGTTTTGGGTTCCATCCGGGCAAAGCAAACAGTCGCCCGTGGATGCCTGACTGCGGCCTGGGGCAGCCACCGCCCTCTCCGCCAGGCACTCGCCGGACTTGCGTAGACAACCGCAACAGCTTCGCCCGAGCTTCCCCAAGAGCTGCTGCCAACTCTACCCTCCTCCCTCTATCTCCTACATCCCAATCTCGCGTTTCTCTCCCATTCTTCCCTACCTTACCTCCATCCCACTAATTGTCATTACATCTCCCACATAATCCAACATGTTCATTGCCCGCTCAGAATACGGTAAGCTCCGTCAGACCTCCCCCTCTGATGCGGTCATCTAACTAACAGCTTTCCTTGACAGACCGTGGTATCAAGTACGACTCTGATGACCCTTTACTGCATGACAATGCGAATACATACAGTGTCTAACCATGCGATAACAGCACCTTCTCTCCGGAGGGGCGTTTGTTCCAGGTCGAATACTCTCTCGAAGCTATCAAGCTGGGCTCAACAGCGATCGGTGTACGTGCATCCGTTCCTGCCCGACGACATCTGAAGCCGCTCGAAACCATCAACTACATTCATACCCTTCAATAATTCTAACATAGTTCTAGGTCGCCACCTCCGAAGGTGTTATCCTAGGTGTCGAGAAGCGTGTCACCTCCAGCCTCCTCGAGGCCTCCTCCGTCGAGAAGATCGTTGAGATCGACCAACACATTGGCTGTGCCATGTCCGGTCTGCAGGCAGATGCCCGGTCCCTGGTCGAGCACGCCCGTGTCGAATGCCAGAACCATGCCTTCCACTACGCCGAGCCGTTGAGAGTTGAGAGCTGCACCCAGGCCATCTGTGACCTGGCCCTGCGATTCGGAGAGACGGGAGATGACGAGGAGAGCGTCATGAGTCGGCCTTTCGGTGTCGCCTTGCTGCTTGCTGGTATTGATGAGGATGGTCCGCAACTGTATGTTGAGTGTTTACCTGCTTACTCACCTGCGGGGCAGTGAGACAGTTACTGGGAAAGTGTGTACTGATCGATTCTGCTCGTTTTAGATACCACGCGGAGCCGTCCGGAACGTTCTACCGATATGATGCGAAGGCTATCGGGTCCGGAAGCGAGGGTGCGCAGGCGGAGCTGCAGAATGAATACCATCGTTCCTTGACGCTGGGTGAGGCAGAGACTCTGGTTCTCAAGACGCTGAAGCAGGTCATGGAGGAGAAGCTGGACGCGAAGAATGTCCAGCTCGCTAGTGTGACTAAGGAGAAGGGCTTCCGTATTTACGACGATGAGGAGATGGGTCGGGCTGTTGCGCAGCTGGGCAGCAACCAATAAGGGAGGAGGGCCTCTAAGCATGAAGATATAATGGGCCAACGAGTATATCAGCAATAGTTCGTCCTGTCCGGACTCGTAATTGTCTTGGTATCCATAGAAAAGAACAACGACCTCGTCTAATGACTTTGAATGCTTAATTGCCCCGGCCTTCTTTTAATTGCAACCTAACTTTTTTCTAATGACCAAACAAGCAGCCGATGATATCATAGTATATACAGATGGCTAGTAATTGTAACACCCAAGTTCCGATCACAGCTATCTACTACCGGATCTTGTAGACACAAGGCTTAAGAACAGCGGCCTCTTCCTCCGCAGTCATCCCTTTGTCGGCGAGAGCCGACTTGTCAATGAACCTCTTCTTTCCAGGACCAGCAGCCGCGCCTGTCGTCGAGGCATATTTACCCTTGGTAGGAGCACCACCCGCCTTGACGAACTCCATCTTCACAAACATCTTATTGGACTTGTCAACTGACTCGGGCTTCAGAACGAAGCCTCGCGTGCGGAACACCTCCACGAAAGCAGAAATATCCGTCTCGTCGTCATTGTCAGCCGGACGAGCGTCTTCAGCATAGATATCTGCGTCATCCACGTCAGAGCCTTCATCATCACCGGCCTTCTTCTTGAGCTTCTTCTTCTCTGACTTGCTGAGCGGCTTCTTCGCTCCAATCTGTGCCTTCTTGCGGTGCACCTTGCCAAAGCGACTCTTGACTTCACTGACCCAGCACTCGCCCTTGCCGTCACTGCGCAGGACCCGCCATGCTTCCTCCACGAAAGAGACCCAGTTGGTGCCCATCAGACTGAGACAGAAGACAGTCACATCGACAGAGCCGTCGGCCAATGGGAGGTTGGAGATGTCTGCCTTGGTGATCGGAGAGCCCTCGGGGGCATGGAGATCGTAGCTGAGAAGCTTGAGGTTCAGCTTCTGGGCGGAAGGCAACAGAGCACGGGCGAGCTGGGCGTCACCACAGCCAAGGTCAGCAATGGTGCACAGTCCATTGGGCCGACGAGGAAGCGCGAGAGCGGAATTCCGCTTGTTGTCGAACTTTCCTTTCTTGGGAGGGCCACGGATTGCCCCTCTACCGCGGAAGGCCTTGATGTAACCATCAACAGGGTTGGAAGGCCAGGACTCCTTGACCTGGCGAGAGAAGCCGGCGTGGTACTCGTCGAACAGTTCCGGGTTCGCGCTGAAAAGCTCAAAGGCCTTGGCAGAGGGTGTCGTGTATAGCGTCTCGTTCAGATGGCGGAAACGGGATGAGATCAGCTTCTGTCGCATAGCTTGTTGGAGAGGAGTAAGAATGGCTTCTGTTTTCGGTGGAGCAACCGGCAGGGACTCGGCAGCTGGAGTCTCAGTTGAAGCTTCTTGCTGCTGATCCTTGTTCTTGTTCTTGTTCTTCCTCTGCTTCTTGTTGGCGGGCTTTCCTTCCTCCCCGGTAGTCTCGGGCTTTTCTTTGGGCTGCTCTTTCATCGCCTGGCTCTGCTTTCCCTGACCATCTCCACCCTTCTTAGGCTTCTTATCAGCCTTCACGGCATTGTTGTTCGCATTCTGCTTCTGGCCCTTGGGAGTCGGTTTCTGGCCCTCGATGTGCCGACGGTACATCTCATCCACATTGCCCTTGGTGACATGATCTTCGCGCTTGCGCTTCTTATCCCTGTTGTTGATGGGGGTACTATTAGCCCCAGTTGAGCTCTTCGATGAAGATTGCTTCTGGGACGCTTCGGCCTGCTGCTGCTTGAGAGCAGAGGTCTCGAGGGACCAGCCTGGGACGGCGAACATAATTGTGTTCTCAACGAAGTCCTTCGCTGCAAAACTCTTCCCAATGATTCGGCTCTCCCTAAGGAAAATCTGGTGGCTCTAGACCGGAAATATCGGCGTGGACGGTGAGGAGAAATCCCAAAAATTTCTGGCAATAAAAGGCGGAGAATGGCAGCGGGCGGCTTTCTGCCGTATCGACAAGGGCGGTCAGAACAGTGGTTACAGTGCACCATTCCCTTTCTGGAATGTATTGCGATCTGGGGTCGTGATGGTCAGGTGAATTTCAGCCTCCCAGTTCTGGCTATAATTCAACTCGAGGGAAGAGCTTTGTTGCTGTAAATGATCTTCGATTGGCGGCTACCTTTCACCGTGATCGGTCCTCAGGATATGATGGTACCGTCAAGGCGACTCATAGATCATTCGATCATAAGGACCAAACGTGGATCCATTTAAAGGCGAAGGCACCACCAGGCAGCTCCTTATGGTCATATACAACAGACATTATCAGCTTAATGACCTGCCCCTCGATATCAACTGTTCGAAACGCATTGTGAAGATGTGCTGACTTCCATCCAGCGGGGCAGCCTTACTGCCTGAGGTGCTCAATCTATGGATTCCAGCCAATCACACGACGCATCGGCTGGGCGGCAGAACTTCCCCGTCGGATCTCCCCACGCATTATTCGCTGCTGCTATTCTTTACACCCACAGGCTATGAGTCTCCACATCGGAATCCTTGACTCGGTACCTAGTCTAGGCGCCTTACAGACTATCGGTTGCTGTCTTGTGACTATGGAAACGAACTTGCGCTCAATTCCCTGCCGCCATGCAAGCAACCGACCATACCCGGAAATCACTACAAGACCCATCTGCCAGTGGGCCAAAGGCCGCGCCGGGTCCTGACACTTCGGCGGAAGTGCAGGGAGACTCCACGACGGCGGTTTCGGGCAGTGGATCTACTCAGAAAGTGCCTAAGAAACGCACCAAGTCTGGATGTCTAAGTGAGTGTCTTCGGTGAGCGTGTCTTAGCGACTCGAGCTTACCAGCCCTAATAGCATGTCGGCAACGTCGCATAAAATGTGGCGAAGAGAAGCCCATTTGTAACAATTGTATCAAGTCAAAGCGCGATTGCAAGGGCTATGGCCCTCGCCTAGTCTTCAAGGATCCATTGGGCATTACGGGTACCTCCTCGCAACCGGCAGCCATCAGTTCACAGACCTTCAATGTGCCACCTCCCAACGAGGATATCAATAATGCTGTCTTCCAGCAAAGACAAGCCTGGTCTGGCCAACCGGCCCTTGCTCCAAAGCCCGTTGCAACCGCAACTTTGGAGCAGACTCCCCAGCCTGTCACAGCCGCGGCGCCTCATGAGTTTCAGATGCCAAGCGCAGCACCGTTCCAGCCGCAGTCACATACTCTGCCGCAACAGGAATATCCAGTACTCCGTGAGCCGGCAGACACCTTGGCTTTCCTGGACCAACAACGGTCAGCTGGCTTAGAGCCGCGGTACCAGACTGATACAGGCATAATATATCCGCAAACATCTTCTCGGGCACCCGGCGAAAGATTTGCCCCCCCAACCTCATATCAGGTACTATCGAATGTTGAAGAAGAACGCGAAGAAGACTATTACGATCTTGATACGGACGAAGAGAGCCATGAGCAGACCTTGGCACAAGATTACAATCAGCTCAGCCTTATTATGGCATCCGCTAATCGCGACCAGCAGCAGCTTCGAACTTTCACCACCTACCTAAATGAGCCTAACATACTTACCTCTTATTCCCCAACTTATGGCTCCTCTCCATTGAACAATCCCAAAACAGCACGCATTTTCTTGCATTTTATCCATTCGACCGGGCCCACTCTATCCGTTTTTGAGCGGCATCCAATTGATCCTTCCACCATGTTGGGGTCCCCGGTCCCAATGGCACAACAGGGACTCTGGACCTATACGCTTCCTCTCAAAGCCTTGGAGAATCAGCCATTACTGCAGGCCATCCTAGCTTTGAGCAGCCTACATATTGCTTACCTGCAACAGGCCCCGCCAACAGTTTCTCTGAAGCACTACCATTATGCTCTCAGAAGAGTCGGTGTCGCAGTTGGCCTACCCATGCGGCGCAAGCAGATCAGTACTCTTGCTGCTACACTTTTGCTAGGATACTACGAAGTAATGGGGGCCGATCACTCCAAGTGGAATAGTCATGTCGCAGGGTCGGCTCAGCTGGTGCGCGAGATTGACTTTGCTGGCATGACCCGTAGCCTGCGTGCTCAGCGGCGCAGGGTGTGGCTTGAGCGACATCACAGGGGATCCTCCGTTATATCCATAGTGGAACCCTCATATTCAGTCAGCTATGGGTCAGAAGATGACCCTTTTGCAGAAAAGGAACATGACATCGACGAAGATTTGATAGGCAGCCTTATTGGCCGGGCTGTCAGTTACGACGAGTTCGGACAGGTCGATGATGGTCAAGCCAGCTCTCGTCCCGAGAGACATTTCACTAGGAAAGACATTGAAAACTTTCGTATCCAGTGCGATCTCTACTGGTGGTATTTGCAGCAGGATGTCATGCAGAGCATTATTAGTGGCGGTCCGTTATTGTCAGTAACATCCCCACTCTTTCATTTATGTACCATCAGACTGACAGTAGCAGCATTTCGTACTCTCAATGGGGACAGTGTCCCCCGCGCGCCGGAATGGGTCGACTGGATGCTATTTACGGCTCTGCGGATCATCTGTGGCTCTTGCTGGGACGACTGGCCGATTTTGGTGTTCGGGACAGAAAGCGGAAGCTGAGGGCAACAGAGGCTACGGGATCACAGTGGCGGCCTGATGCCAGACTCGCTAGGTTTATGGCTCGTTTCACAGGGAGAGCACCGGAACAGCAAGCAAGACCGTCGGCCGGTGGCCCTGTGCAGCCTCCTTCCGGTGCGCCAGCGGCTGGTCCGCCGTTCTATGGCATGGCTCCGCCCCGTGGACCAAGACATCCTCCACCAGCCTTTGTCGAATTCCCTCAACATGGCCAGTACGACGATGAAAGTGCCGGGAACAGTTCATACGAAGAGGCTGAGGTTGAGTGGGAGAGTATGTTGATGGCATTCGACACATTTGAAAGCGCTCTCGGTCCGTATTTCATGCCTCTGCCTCCCGACAGTGTGACTCCGATATCATCTCCTTTCGGGCTTGCTCTGCAGTACCGAACACATACTATAGCTGTTCTGTGGGGCTATTACCTCACCGGACGAATTCTCTTACATCGGTTACATCCATCGATGCCTCCCGCCATGATGGTATCTGCAAAGGTAGCGGCGCCGACTACAACAGGATACTCCCAGGCTATTGGAAGAATCGCGGCCGGGATCTACAACTCACAAGTATCTCATCTAGACGCAGGGAGCCTGAGCCCGACACTCGGATCTTGTCTTATCAAGATGACCGTGCCGATCTTCTTCGCAGCAATCCAATACACAGACCCCGCACAACGAGATTGGGTCGTAACAAGGCTGCGCAGCCTCTCCAAAAAGAGTGGTTGGAAGACGTCCGAATCAATAGCCAACAGTTGTGAGAATGCGTGGAGAGTCGCCGCGAAACAAGGCCGTGGACCTCCATATGAGCGGAAAGACACGACCGAGTACGAACGGGCATCAACGTGGACACCACCCGTTCAAGAGACTCCCTTGGGTAACCCTGGCGAAAGACGTTTTGTTACCATCGCCAGACGCCCAGCAGAAGCCGGCTGGGCGATGGGACTTCTAAGCCTGGAAGATGACGTACTGAACCTCTCAATCGAGGATCGGGTATGAGTACTTCGTAGTAGTTGCTGGCTGGCAAGGTTTCATTTAAGAATAGGCCAATAGATGGCAGGCCTGAATTACAAGTCAGTAGAAACGTTGTCAGTTAACGTCAAGCCACACGATCTATCAATTTCCTATTGACAAGGGCCCCTGAAGCAACCATGGCAACATCCATATTTATCCCTTGTCATCAAGGTGTCACAGACGACAGCATGACATCTGGATTGTGCTGTCTCCACCCCGTTCGAGACCTGCAACGGAGCTGCCGCTGTCAAAGTCACAGTCATTGATGGTTCGTCGCACGAAACCCCTCCAGCGCAGCCTGAGTACAAAGTATATGTGATGTATCCACCTCGAAAAACAATAAAAAAAGAAGAAAAAGGAATGTTGCCACCATCCTGCATGGGCTCGACCGGGCTCTGGATTTCATACAGGACCGGTCGAACGCATTGCGCCACTGATCCGCACCGCCCCTGCAGAGAAGGATGATCTCGTCCCCTTCCCTCCCTTTGTATCTGCTCTGGTTCGGTAAAGTCCGTTTTGGAACCACCTGGCGGGATCTGATTCCTCGCATGGCCCTGCACGTGCATATGCATGCAACTAGTCAACTGTCGGGTCAGATGTGATTTCTCTATTTTTTTCCTTTACCTTCCGTCTCTCCTCTTGTTCGAGATCGAGTCTAGAAGTTGCTCCAGAAACATACATGTAGTAAGGCTGATTTTGAATGTTGGTTATCATCAATCTGTGTTATTTTTGTTTCAGATTTCTGGTTGATGTTGCTTTGTTTTGGTTCCTGTGGTGGTGGTGGTGGTGTCATAGGTTGATATGCAGATTATTTAGTGTGACGGTCTTATGCATGATAATAATCCTACACTACGTACTGTGTATAACCATCATGATATAATCCCTGTTTAGTCTGGTTGCCAGATATGATCTGTCCTTGTCTTAGAACTATTGCATATTTACTAATGAACTTCATACTAGGATCAGGCGCTAAATATGAATAATCATGTTCTTGTCAGGCATGCTTCACATGCAGAAAATGTAATGCAGATCTTGAAACTGGCCCAAATAATTATATTATTATTATTAGTAGTAGTAGTAGTAGTAGTAGTAGTAGTAGTAGCAGACGTGGTGGCTACTTCCAGTATTGATTTCTGTATATGAAATATAATATATATGAAGCTACCTTTACTAATATTGGTTTCATAGTATGGCTTGGATAGTATTTTCATTGTTTCGAACAGTACTATAGTACTACCTACTTTACTAGTGGAACTGACAGTAGGTCAAGGTGAATATATATCTTGACCCAACGAGTTGCCAAGTTTACTAGATAGACGTTTCGAACAGTTCCTGACACAACTGAGATTAAGAGTTGAAACGGATAATGCTCAATATGATGCGATGTATATGGTAATTCTAAAACTGATTACTATTGCCAAAATATAATATATGTCTCCTAATGAAGCAAGAGTAGATATTAATACTACTAGTAGTATTATGAGGTAATGGTATCTCTCTTGTGGCAGCGAGCATATTACTGAGCATGAAAAGGTGAACGGAGAGGGATGATCCCTGGTATTATTGTCGCTGCCTTGAGGTAGTAATAATAGTAGGTTAGACAGTCATCATTGACTTGTGCTACTATGAAGGTCCAATTCATTCTTATGATGGAGACAGCATATCCGGGCTATCAAGTATATATATGTAGTACTAGTACTATTCTTCTTTGCTCAGTAAGCTCCTGCTGAAGATAGTACTGACCAGGCTTGGATATAGTAGAGAAATCGGGACACATGTAAGTTTTGAAAAGTGTTCTTGACTGTTCGAGAACGCTTGGGGGCCAGTATTGGATAATGTAAACCGTAGTATGCGAGCCTAGAGGGGGAAGGCAGAACTGTCATTAATCTAGCAGGAATTTGAGTGAGTGCAAGATTAACGCGCCAGTCCAATTGTCAAATTATAGTGTGAATAGCAGTGATAGCCAAATTTGGTTTGATCAGGCACTGATGAGGAAAGGGGCAAGCCGTCCTTTCCAACTCGTCATCGACGCGAGAAATGTCGTAAAAGGTATTGTCTAATCGCTATAGACTGTTGATGGCCATGACAGACTGAGACAAAAAGGCTTGAATAGCTTGACAACGATGCTTGACAGCTAATGCAATTGACCGCTTCAAGCAACACGCAAAGACCGGGTGTGTCCGAGAGCACCCAGGCTCGGCTCGAGACATGAATTCCTTTTTCCAGCTTTAAATCAAGGTTTAGTTCATTATCAGTATCACAAGTTGGGCTCAGAGGCCCTGGAGGAGCCCAATTGACCCAAGTTATCCCGTATTAGGAATCCCGAGAGCATCACATAGGTAACTCGGCCGAATTTGTGGGCAAGAGCATACGTACCTTTCTGAGTCATGGCACAGGTTAAGCCACCCAGGAAGGTAATAGTGGCAACTCCACTTCACGCTTTCACTCTGACAACGCGGTATCAGGGAATGATGGGTTGCGCTCCGAAGTCTTCCGGGGATGGCCTCGAATTACTCTGGCTGTGATGATAGGGGACAGCTGTAACAGCTGCCCACGCTCACCGCTCTTGTGTAGATTGTTTGCGACAATGCAACACTTGGATGTGAACTCGTATGGGCACATACTGTTGGAATCAGCTATCATTCAATTGAGACATCCCTCCATTTGTCAGCCGCACGGACGGTGGATATCATGCACAAGGTATCAATAGGATAAGACCATGCAAGAACGGCATGCACTCACCCGGTAAATCCTAGGAAGTTTGTTTCAAGCAGAAAATAGCTATACGAACGGACATCAGCCATGGGAGGGACATCGCTTCCGACCAATGACAATAATGAATGTTGGACTACAAGGGAAGACACAAAGGACTGAGTCCTTACAATGCGGACCATAAGCTCCTAGGAGAAAGGCAATTATGACCTGGAGACCATGCATTGTCCAAGTTTTTGTTGATAGTATCAACGGAAATAGTAGTATGTCGAGCGTGTCCATCATTGGGCCGACCAAATCAAAATCAAAGGCACTGCAGACTGTGGGGTCAGGGCATATCCCTGAGTTTAGTCTAGACCTGAAGCGATCTTTCCAGGATGGAGAAGCACAGAGAGAAATGAGAGAGCAGTGAGTGGTGAGTACCCGACGATAACAGCCATTGAGGAGGCGTGCAGGTGACTTGCCTGGATGGAGTCTTGGCGCAGGCGACAGTTGGCAGCACCAGACTAGATTTGTTTTTTTGAAGATGGCTTCGGCCTCGTTCTCGTTGGCTCCGCATTAGTGCAGATTAGGCGGGCCTAAGCCCTTGCTAGGCTTGCCATTATCGCGCGCCCCCCATGGCTTTATTTTTGACGTCGAGTCTGCAGCCAGCAAGAACATCATTCACTAATGGCTGCACTCCGTTTTGGGAATCAAATGCATCCATTTATCCTCCTTGTGTTGAAGGAACCAATGATCCCTATTTTTTCATAGAGATCTCCGAGAACATTAGTCTCGAACATGGTCTTCTTCCCCTCACATTGCCCCGCTGTGTTCCGTTTGGGTGTCCATTCATACCAGATCATCTCAGGTACTCATCAGCTTCTCACGAGTCACTTACCTTGGGTCGAGATCGTTCGAAACCCGCAGTGGATCAGTAAAAACGGACAAAATGGCTTCGCCAGCAGTAAGAAAGCCATGTACAAGTGGAGAGTTAACTTAATTGAGTTTCCAATAGTGTTGTTGGCGGGCGATCAGGTCAAAGTACAGTTGGTCAGTTGCAATCCGCTCCGGATATCTGAGTGAGCATCAGGCCACTCAGAGACTTGTTATTTGACCTCTCTATCGTGATGAAGGCTATTATCGCTAAATGCAGTAGTCCACACTGGACGGAGGCTCCAGTGAACCAATCGACCATCGTGCCCCATTGCCAGTGAGACCCAACATGGGTCCCGTCTGGTGGAGTGGTATCTGAAAGCCAGAGGGACGTAAGTGGTGTCGGGGCAAGCTGGAATTCTCCGAAGTGTTCGGTCCATCACACTAGTATGACATCGCAAGGCTACCAACTATACGTGGAGGCAAATGTCATTGGGTTGAATAACCGCTCCCCTGAAGCGGTTCTAGCCTACCAGCAGCATGCGCTTAGGGTGAAACTCCCCCTGTTGAAACTATCTGGGCACGAGATCGAGCCGGGGGGTCGTGCAGGGTGGCTAGTGGCCCAGCAGCTCAAGAGGCAGATGCTCCATCCGGGTAGGATTTGCTCCCTCCCGCAGCGGCGTGATGCATGACGCACCCACTGCTAGAGGACAGCTGGACCGGCAGGCCTGCACTGCCTACGCCCCGGAGAGGAGTGGTGCAGACCAGAATCGGGGCTGAGGAAGAGGGCGAGAAAGCGAGAGAGCCAGCCGGAGGAAGCAACGAAAGAAGGCGAGAGACCGTGGCGAATGGCTAAGAATAATCGAGACCAGACGCATACACGTGGGCCCGCCTGATCTGCGTAAGTTACAAGGGACTTTGGCTGTGTTTCGGTGGTTTGGCGGTTTTTTTGCGGTATCTCCGCTAACGTCACATTTGCCGGGGTTTTGTTTCGCATTTTTATAGATGATGTTTTTTTTAATTCTATTGTAGATACTAGAAACGGTATTTATCAGTAAAGAGAAGATTCGTCTGCATTGCAAGCCAGACACTTTTATACAAAAGCCAGTCCCTCCCCCACCCCAGAAAGAAACTGCAACACACACTACACTACACTACACCACACAAGAAGATCTACATCGCTTGGAGTTGACTATTTCACTCTCACACACGGTTCAGCAACAGCCCCGACGTCATCGCTCTTGTCGCAAATCCATCTCTCATCAACGGTTCTGCTTTCTTTGCGCTGCCCCGCCATATTTTTAATCAACGGCCCGCCCCAGTCAGCCGCTGCCGTCACCCACGGTTCGCTTGCAGTCAGTTCCTCTCCCTCTAGTATTCTCCCTATCAGGTCATCCACTCCTTCAATCCAAACATATCACACATGTCTCGATACGGCGACTACCGTCGCTCTACTGGGGCTCTCGACGAGGACCATTATTCGCGGGACCGTGAGCGTCACCGTCACCGTCACCGTTCACGTGGACCCCCGGTACTCGAGCGCCCCCGCCGTGTCGAAGAGGATGATCGCTTCGAATATCGTCTTAAGGAACAGGAGCGATACGGGCCCCCTGCCCGTCGCTCTGAAATATTCTACGAGGATGATCATATAGCCTACTCCCCAGGCCCGCTGGTCACCTACCGCCATGCCGAGAGCCCTCCCCCGCGCCCGCGCCTTCTGCGCCGACAGTCTTCCTTGGACACTTTCGACCGCCCAACACGCAAGGTCGATGAATATTACTATAGCGACTACCCGCCTAGAGCTCCCCCTAGTCCCCCACCGATGCGAAGACGGGGCTCCTTCCACCGTGTTCGTTCGCCCGACTACTACGAGGAAATCCGTATCGCGGAACCAGACTACTATGGCGATGAAGAGTACCGGGAGTTCCGTGAGCGTGATCGGATTGTGGAGCGCCCACGTCGCTCAGTGAGTCGGTATCGTGGGAGAATGGTAGAGGAAGTTGACGTGGAGAAACCGTATCCTCGGAAAGGCAGAACTCGCATGCCTCGCAAGTTGGTTCACACCAGTGCGATCCGCGAGTTTGGCTATCCGTATGAGGAAGAGGTGTGTATATTTCATGGATACAAAGTCGAGCTGGAAC